ATGTCTTAATATTTTAAAAAAATTAATTTTAGCGTAACTTGTCCACTATTACTTATAAAAGTGCAGGCCATATGGCTAGATTCTTAAGTTCTGATAAAAGTTTTATGAGAGGTCCATTTGTTTTAAAAATTTCTACTTTGGTTCGCTACCACTAGAAAGAATTATTTTCAAAATCCTCATAAGTTGGAGGGTATGGATCATGTAATCATTGCGAATCGTGAACCTCGAAATTGTTTTTAAGCATTGACTTAATTTTAATATAACAACCAGTATACGATCTCAATTTAATTCGCTATTTTCTACTACTTATAAAAAATGCTTTGAAAAGTGTTACAAAAATGGCAGTTGTATTCTAAGCTTATGTACACTCCGGACAAGAAAATAAACTGGTAGTAAGACTATGTCAAATCTAGTTTATTTTCGTAAGAAATAAATGTTCATGATTACCAAGACTTATTATTAGAATTTTTGAACTGAACAAAACAGTCATGTATTTATGTCCAGGGCAAGGATGTTGAAAAAAAAATTTTTTTTGTTCTGTATTTTAGTTTTTTCCCCCTATACAGCATACCTGCCAACTTTTAATCCCTTCCATTATCATTTTTCCTAGTGGTATTAAAATGGAATTAAAACTTCAATTTTAAGCAAACAAATACGTTGTATTTGAGAAAACTTAAGTTGACAACCATGATAGGAACGCATATTAATATATGTGCTTAATTTTTGTAAGAATAGTGGTGATCAAAATCATTTGAAAATTAAGTTTATAAAAGAAAACATGGTATATATTTACTGCCACTTTAAATATGAAAATAAAATCTTCCGGAAGAGTTGGCAGGTATGATACAGGTATCATTCATGTCTTTTTTTTATTTTTAATTAAAAAAATTTCCTTTATTTTATAAATTTTGAGTGATACTTTTTTCTGTTTAGAAGTATTTTGCTTGATCGTCTTCATAAATTTACATTCAATCTTGATATATTAAATTTCCTTTAAGAAAAAATTTTAATATTTAACAGAATTTTTCATGTTATGAGAATTTACTTTTGGAAAATAGAGAATATTTGAATTTAAAAACATCAAACTTTGTTTTTGATAGCCTTTTCTCAGCAAACTTGTTTAAGGATATGTTCTACCAAGTTATTTTAATAAAAGTGGCAAAATGATTCATTAAAGAATTTTAATTTTTTAGTAGACTCTTCCGATTTAAGAGACTACTGAAGAACTAAATTTTAGTCACTGTTTCATACATAATTAATCAACGTCAATTTTTAACTTTTTTTTGCACTTAGCGTGGTACTCATAATAATTTTTATATTCAGCGCAAACTTTTAAGTACAGAATTCATAACATTAATTCGAATAATGGTACACAAATTCTAAAAAAACAAAGAAAAAAAAAACATCTTTCTTACAACTGCAAATGTTTTGAAATATTTCGCAAAGTAAATATGCATATTTTAATACATTTAGAACACATTTTGAAAGACAGCAATTAAAGTTTTCAAAAATTATGTCAGCTTTGCTATTCAAAATTTGCATCTACAATTCCTATACCTACATGAATTAATTCATTATCTGTGTCCAGCTACTTCAACGAATTCATCCAACGCCTCCTACAACTGAAAGCGTCCACACGGTTTTTTGTAAGTAGTCCGATCAGACCACTATGTAGGTAAACTAATTAGTGAAAGAACCGTTTAATATGAAGTGTATTAAAAATTAGAAAGTGGTAGCAAATATATGTCTAAAAATTTGTTTAATTTATGAATATAATTAGTTTGTTTTATTTACTTGTCAATCACTACAGATTCAATTATCAAATATATATCATAAATTTCTCTTAAGTACTTTTTAAACTAGAATTTGGGCTCTTGCGCACGAGTGGTTCACTTTTTAAATAATCTGCGCAGACTACTTATGAGAAACCCATTGGAAGCTTTCTGATGTAGGAGGTGATGATTCATCTGAGTATTAGGTAATTGAAAAACTACCATGAAAAATGACTTACGAAGTGGAGTAAAGCAAAAGGTCCCTTAAGGATTAGAGTGCAGGCCTGCCAACTACTATGCTTTTTGCTAAATATTTTATAGAGTGGTGTATACAATCGAAGCCAAAGTTTTTATTATTTTTGGTAATTTTCTTAACTTTTTAAAGCATGAAAACTATATTGCTGGAACAAAGTGGTATCTTATATAAACTATTAAATTAATAATATGTAATGGTATGAAAAATAAGTTTAAAATAATAAAAAATATAACATAAACTTAGGTACCACTAAAATTACTTTTTACAAAAAGCGTAGAAAGTTGGCAGCCCTTAAATTGTATACATTTTGAAATATTTTTATTGTTAAAGGTTGGCTACCAATTTAGATTTTAAAATATCGCAGTCACTTTAATATAGTAAGTTAATCTGTCATATCTGCCAAATTTTCCTGAAAATTTTGCTTTCGTATTTAATATGCTAGCAATATTTTTGCATTCATGCTTGATTCCTGTTGTAACAAATTTCATTTAATATACGTTACTACCACTACGGTCAATTAGTTTAAACATGCACGAGAAAGACCAGCTTGTTATTTGATTGTGTTTTAAACAATGGGAAATTCAGTATTTGCCAATAATATCACTGCAGTAGTTATGTCACTATACGACTGAGAAAAAGAATTCATTTATTTATTTTTATTATTATTTTTTTCTGGAAGCACGCATCCGCATATCGCTGAAGATTCTATATTTATTTTTAATGGGGTAGTAAAATCGGAGAATCGCTCGTCATTTGAATCGAAGCGTTGCGGTGATTCGCAGATGCTGGCAAGGATGGGTGGAAAATGGCAGAGTTCAGTGTCAGGATGGTAGCGGTCGACCTAGGGCTACAACAGAGCGTGAGGACAGAGTGATTGTCCGAGCAGTTGTCACAGCACCTTCTTCATCTCTATCAACCGTCAGACGTTCAACCCAAACACCAGTGTCCAACATGACCATTCACAGACGGTTGAGAAAGCGAAATCTACGCTCGCGGCGACCGTTACGCCACCTGCCACTCACGCCTGCACACTGCCGAGCCAGATTACAGTGGTGCATGGCTCGATCAGGCTGGAATGATGCCGACTGGGGACGTATAGTCTTTAGCGACGAATCCCGCTTCCAACTGTGTCCTGACGATCATCGAAGACGTGTTTGGAGACGCACAGGGCAGAGGGG